TGTATGGTGTGTGTGTGGGGGCAGTGTGTTTATGGGCTAGAGTTCACTCTCACCACTGCGACCACCAGGAATCCCTGGGGGTCACAGTGTTGAGAGTGAACACTAGACCGTAGCTCCAGGGCTAGAGTTGACTCTCGCAAGAGCGGTAACGTTGCCATGGTAATCGCGGCAACGCTCTGTGCTCGTGCAAGAAGGACCCAGAGGAGCTGCAGGGTGAGCTCCCAGGTCCTCTCTTCCTTCCTCCCCTGCCCGCACGGTGCCTGCGGACAGGGGAGGGGGAGCAATTGCCCTGTTGCCCCCCTGGATCCACCAGTGATATATACAGCCCTTCTGTGTGCCTTTTTGTCTCCCCCCGTCCCTCTGTATGTTTCTTTCTCCCCCCTCCTTCCCAGTCTCTCTTACCCCTCTGCCTCTTTCTCCCTCTCTTCCACTGTTTTTCTCCCCCCTTTCCCTGTCTCTCTCTCTCTCCCCCACATCTCTCTTCCTCTCTGTCTCTTTCTCCCCCTCCCCATGTGTCTCTTTCTCCCCCTCCCTATCTCTCTATTCCTCCTCTTTCTCCCTGTGTCTCATTCTTCCCTCTCTGTCTGTCTCCCCCCTCCCCATATCTCTGTTCCCCCGTCTTTCTCCCCCCTCCCCATATCTCTGTTCCCCCCTCTTTTCTCCCCCTCCCGCCCATCACTCTGTTTCTTCCCCCCCTCTTTCTCCTCCCCTCCCAATCTCTCTGTTCCCCCCTCTTTCTCCCCACTCTCCCCATATCTCTCAGACCCCCCCCCTCTTTCTTACCTCTCCCCATATCTCTGTCCCCCTCTTTTGTCCCCCCTCCCAGTCTCTGTTTCCCCCCTCTTTCTCCCCTCTCCCCTTGTATCTCTGGGCTGCACCTCTTTTCTCCCCTCTCCCCCATATCTCTGTTCCCCCCCTTTCCCTTATCCTGTACTTCCCTTTCTCCCCATATCTCTGTTCCCCCTTTCTCCCCCAAAATCTCTGTTTCCTGCCTCCCTCTCCCCATATCTCTTTTCCCCTCTTTCTCCCCCCCTCCCCTTTATCTCTGTTCCCCACTTTCCTCCCCCCATATGCTCTGTTCCCCCTCCCACTCCCCACTTATCTCTTCCCTCTTTCTCCCCCCCTCCCCCATATCTCTGTTTCACACCCCTCCCTCTCCCCATATCTCTTGCCCTCTCCCACTCTCCCCATATCCTCTTTTCCCCCTCTCCCTCTCCCCCATATCTCTTTTCCCCCCTCTTACACTCCCAAATGCCTCTGTGCCCCCTCTTCCCCCCTCCCATCTCTCTGTTGCCCCTCTTTCTCCCCTCCCCATCTCTGTTTCCCCCCTCTTTCTCCCCCCTCCCATCTCTCTATCCCCCCCCTTACTCAAGTCTGAGGGGGCCGGCCGTTTGATGCTGGAGCCGCCGGCCCTGGTGGCAGCCTCGCCGGTCCGGTGGCATTCCTCTGACTAACACTGAAGGAGAAGGAGCATGTCTCTCTGTCATGCTCACTGCGGTTCCCACAATTCCCAGCACAGGATGCATGATAGACACATGCTCCTCCTCCTCCTTCAGTGTTAGTCAGAGGAATGCCGCCGGACCGGTGAGGCTGCCACCTGGTCCGGCGGCTGCAGCATCAAACGGCCGGCCCCCTCACAGTGTGCCACCGGGCCGGCCACCCGGTGGCACCTTCCTCAAGTTACCAAATGCCGCCCCCAATCCAGCCCTGCCGCCGGGCCCCCTGAAGGCGGCCCTGGCGGCGGGCCCCCCTCCCGGCCGGGCCCTCGGACCGTGTCCGAAGTGCCCGACCGGTCAGTCCGCCCCTGTATGTATGTATGTGTCAGTGTGTGTAAGTGTGCATCTGAGTGTGTGGTAATGCATACATCCCAGCATTTTAATGCCAACACAAATACACTCCATCTCTAGCACTGTACACATATACACCCCTGCATTTATACCTTTATGTATGTGTGTATCTGAGTGTGTGTGTACATACCTGTGTCATTGTGTGTGTGTGTGTACCTCTGTGTGTGGATGTGCCAGTGTGTGTGTGTATCAAAGTGCTTGTATCTGTATGTCAAAGGGTGTGTATCTGAGGGTGTGTGTGTATGTGTCAAGGTGTGAGCATGTGTCAGTGTGCCTATGTGTGTATCTGCGTGTTAATGTGTATGTGTATATGTGTTATAGAAATCACACAACATGCAAACAGAGCCCTGCAAACACAAACATTACATACAAACACACCAGTTTGCTGAAACACCAATACTACACACAAATGTACACAACACTACATCCAAACAACCCCCTGCATGCAAATACAAACATTACATACAAACACATTCCTGTATTAAAACGCTAAAATTATATACAAACACCAACTCTACACACAAAAGTACACCTGCATTTAAAAGCCAACACTACAGACAAGTACACCACTGCATTCCAATGGTAACAGTACATACAAATACATGCACACATACACTCTATACAATAACATGCTGACATTCAATTGCACAAACACTGCTCAAAAATACAACCCTGCAAGGATGGTAGATCCCCAGCTGGCATAGCATCGCAGGAGTTGTATGACAGATGGGGATCTATCTTTTCTTTACTCTTGTGCTACAGGGCAGGCCTGAATTATTATTTTTTTTGCACCAAGGCACTCTCTACATTAGTTTTGCCTCTAGGTTGGGGTGGAGGGAGTGATTGCATGCCCAGGGGGCCCAAGCAGATGCTTGCCCAGGGTCCAATCAATATTAAAGACGGCCCTGGGTGGGCTGTATTACTGATTGTGTTTTGTGGGTGGGCTGCTGGACTAACAAGGGCACTGACCGGCAGGAGGTCAGATACCCTGTTAGTCTGTTTGGAAAAGGGGAGAGATGTGACGAGACCAATCTCGCCATTGTGCATTGGAGGAGCCTGGTTGCCTGCCTGCCTGCTGCCTTTAGACTATGGCCCCATGTTGAAACGCTTGATTTTCCCCTGCGAAGACATGAAAGCCGGGTCATTCAGTGCTTGCCCTGTTCGTCTGCTAGCAGCTATTCGTGAGGTTCCAATTCGGGAGTTTGGAATGCTATTTTGTATGCAGTTCGGGAGTTTGGAGCATTCCCTTATATGCGGTTCGGGAGTTTGGTGTTCTGCAGTAGCTGTGCCTGTATCTCTGGAAGGGGAAGATCTTCTAAACGGCGGTTTAACCCTTTTATGCTGAGGTTGCCGTTACAGTCAGTTTAAACTCAACAAGGAATTCTTCATGGTCATAAGCTATATATTTATTACTCTCCCATAGAGGACTGGCCCATGTTAGGGCCTTACCTGTTAATTGATTCATTAGATAGATCCAAAATAGGCTATCAGAAGGGAATGATCCAGGAGACGCATCAAAGTGATATTCTATTTGATTAAGAAATCCACGACACTCCTGAGCATCGCAACCAAAATGAGGAGGAGGTGATAAGGATATCGAAGGAGCCTTATACACAATAGGAATACTCACAACAGGAGGGGTAGGAACTGACGGTGGATCATCGGGCTGAAGATGAGCTGTACGGGCTAGGAGCTTTTGGAAGGCCTGGGCAAATTGATCAATGCAGTGATCATTTTCCTCCAGTCTCCTCTGGCATGCCAACATATGTTGACATAATTCTGCAGGGTCCCATGGCTCTGTCGTAATGCCACGATTACTGGGTGACCCAACAGGCAAAATTATATTAACACAAACAACGTATCCCGGGCCTTAGAATGGCCGGACTTAACGTCGGACTTAACGAAGAGAATGGTCAAATAACAAGCCAAGGCTTAATGCTAAAGCCTGTAGATTTAGTTTGTTTTGTGTCATTCCTGCATGGTTAAACATACAGGTGCATAGTCGGAATGACACAGTCACCTGCATCAGAATTATGATGAACAGATAACGTCAGACAAGATACTGCAAAAATGATACCAAAATGTACTGTGATGTCTTACACACTGCTATGGGTATCAGTATAGGTCTCTAAGCAAAGAATATACAGGACTGGTTACCACAAAAACATAGTGCTCCAGCAGATTATACAAATCATTACAGCTTTATTAGTATGAACAACATTAGCCTGAGGAACTCATTCCAGAACCAGAGGCAGAGCCGGATTAACATAGGAGCTGAAGCTCCAGGCCTTGTCCATGGAATAGTACCCCTTGGAAAAAAAATATTTTTTACTACTCTTCGCAATTGCTTTGTGCAGAGAGAAATACATATGGAAACTTAAAAGAGGTATAGGGGAACAAAACTTGTAAAGACTGGCTGATAAAATTATTTAGAGTCCCCAAAACAATTTTGGGTTCATGAAGCAGTTTTGGTGTATATATCATGTCCCTACAGTTTCCCTGCTCAATTCACTGCCATTTAGGAATTAAATTACCTTAGTTTCTGTTATGCAGGCCTAAAACCAAACCAAATGTACTACTGTTTAAAGAATGCCAGTTATGGAGCTCATAAACACATACACACAGTACGTTTCTAAGCTACTAGAAGTGAGGGACATTAGTTTTGGGTAAAAGAGGCATAGTCCCTCCTAAAAAGGCCTTGAGGAAGGTAGGCATCTCCATGTCTCAAACCGTTTGTAAACGTGAATTTGGAAACTGCAGTGTGTGGCTGCATCCTGGTAGGAGGGCATACCTAACCTACTGCCAAAGAGCTCTTTATATTCACACAAGAATATTTATCTCCCCCCACTCCATGCCCAGAAAAACTTCATATGCCAGGAAAAGTTGGTTAAACTATGATGTTTATGTTCTATGTCATATTATATGTACATAATATATAATATATAATACATTATACATTGCACATATATCATATAGAATATAATAAATAAGAATGTGCCGTGTGCATATTAAATATGTTCAATAAACATAATATATACATTGCACTTTTAATTCTTTATTTTATTTTGTGCAGCAAGATGTACAGACAAGCCTGTGGTGCCCCAACAGCAGGCACAGGGGCAATTAAACAATGCATTATCATGGTAGAATACAGTCGCACATTTTGGTGTTACAGGGTGTAAACGTGTGATCATTAATTATAGGTATGAATACAAACATATGTGTTTCTGAGTATGAGAAGATACCCTAAGAAATAATAGGATACACAAACATTACCCTTAAGACTGCACTGCTGCGTACCCTCCCAATATAGACAGAAATTGGAGCGGTAGTCTCCAAGGGGCTCAGGTACTTTCTATGTTAAGGGTCTGTGGGCAGTACCCTATTCGGTTTAAATCCAACCCACATTTCGTTATATGCACCATGCCCGGACCTGGGGATCTCATAGTGAGGGCACCAACAAGCAGTCTATGGTTACATGTCTTGGTAGCAACGCAGCGCGTGGGTCATAGGCACATTTTACATTGCACTTTTAGACCTGTCAAGATTTACGGATAGCCACTTTCCCCTCTCCAAGTGCTACCGCAGTACTATAACAGTGCTCGGTGTATGGGCAACTCTGATTGGCTGCGCAGCCTGGAGTGCAGGTGCGCTGGGATTATGTGCCCTTTCTTTGGGCGGAGATAATGTCTGTAATACTGATTGCATTATGGATTCACCCAATGTCCACTCCTACACCCATTTGTTATCAGACCTGCCAGAATTGTCAGGCCTGCTCTGCATATAATAGAATAACAATTACCCCAAAAACAGCACTGTCAGGTTGCATGTTCACTCCCTGTGACACCCAATATGCCCTCAATCTTTCTGGTCACCTGACAGACTCACCTGGTGTTGTGAGGACTGAGGTAAAGTGTAGGGTTACTGTATGATTATCTGGGCTCGTGCTGCTCTTGCTATTAAAGTTCAGTATATTTCAGTCCATACTCAAGATCTAAAGCAGTGCATGACTCAAACTGGCCATCCAATCTTAATGGGCAGACTGTCATCTAAGGAGAGGGACACCAGCTCAGTCCTGCTCACCCCCTCCCTTACACAATTTTAAATTTTTTCCATACTCTAATCAGAGGTCGGCAACCTTTGGCACTCCAGATGTTGTGTACTACTTCGCCCATGATGCTCTGCCAGCATTTTGGCTCTAAGAACATTATAGGAGTTTTAGGGGTACTTTTGGGGTTTTATAAAAATATGCGTTTTTTCTGCCTGGAGATAATTGAGTTAAAGGACCACTATAGGCACCCAGACCACTTCAGCTCAATTAAGTGGTCTGGGTGCCAGGTCCATCTAGGGTTAACCCTGCCTGCTGTAAACATATCAGTTTCAAAGAAACTGCTATGTTTACAATAGGGTTAATTCTCACAGTGAGAAGACGCTGACGTCCATAGAGAAATGCTTTCCTATGGACTGATTGAATGCGCGCGTGGCTCTTGCCACGCATGCACATTCGGCACTGACGTCGGAAGAGGGAGGAGAGAAAGATAAGAGTTTAACCCCTTAAGCCCGGCGAGAGTGGGACCCTGAGGGTGGGGGGGACCTTTAGAGCCAGGAAAACGAGTGGGAAGGGATTGTACGTTTGTATATGGGAGTGTGATGCATTTAAACACTGTTGTCATTGGTCTGGGACTTTATACTGTAGTTCCCCACAAGGTCCATGGGGGAGTACCCCTTGCATTGGGACTTGCATAAAAGGCCAGTGTGGCTACCATTAAACGGAGATTCATTTTACCCTTCATGAAGTCTAGGCTCATATTTGGTAGATGGAGAGCTATATTCAATCTGGGGATTGCTATAATCACTATACTCCCTTGAATCGCAACGATTGCTCTTGTAAGAGCAGCCTGCTTCGCTCTCTGGACTAGGAGAGGTCTACCCACTGGAAGCTGGATCCTGGTCTTTTGGTCCAGGGTGGGTGGAGGACAGCAAGACCCCAACCAAGCTGCGGCGGTTTGTGGGGTTTACGGTGGTTATATTGTTCCAGTGCAGTGCTTATGGTGCTCACAAGTACTAGGAAGCAGCGACTGATGGAGGTACCCGATCGGGGTGCCAGGCGGTCCATCACAGTGGTGTTGTGGAGACAGGCTCAAGCACTGAGTGTAGTGGTGCTGTGGAGACAGGGTCAGGCACCGAGTGTAGCGGTGTTGTGGAGACAGGCTCAGGCACCGAGTGTAGTGGTATTATGGAGACAGGCTTGGAGACTATGGTGAGGCAAAGCAGGAAGGGGAATTGGATGTATTTGTCCATCTAGGGACAAATGACTTGGCTTGCAATGAGGTTTCAGAGGTAAAGGAAGTTTTTTGTGTTTTTGAAAACGATATACGGCAGGTTGCTTCCACACTGTCATTCTCTCAAGTTCTGCCTGTGCATAACACTCAGATCGACAGGTAGATGCGTATTAGGGACTTTAACTTGTGGCTTGGTGAATGGTGTCGGGAGCAAGGATTTGGCTTCATTTCTCATGGTAGCTCTGTTTGGAATGGAAATAAACTGTATAAAAAAGATGAAAGATATTGGATGAATAATCCAATATATATTCAGGAGTAGTATATACCTTTAAATCTTAAACTGGTATGTAGGAATGTTAAAATGGCATGATATGACTTAGAATAGCATATAAATGCAGAGAATGTATAAAACAAATGATATAAATATGCTTAGGTTGCAATAAATCCAATAGTAGGTAAAATGTTCTTATATTGATACAATTGTATCACTTAGAATAAAAGTTCATAACAGTCCGTGAATAATGTTAGCTGTTTCAGCTTTTACCAGTTATGAACAAACTGGAATAGTGGATGCTGAATTAGCTAAATTAGTATAGTACAATAATATATTTAATTGCATATATAGCATTAGTGATTTAGCAAATATACTTATGTACTTGTAGAAAAAGAAATAATAATCACTAGCAGGTCATAATTAGTGACTTGCAGTATAATGGGAAGAAAATCCCTCCGGTCTTGCAGAGACTGATGCAAAGATGCTTTCTGTATTAAAAATAAATAGATTTATTGTCCACAGAATAAAATTAAGATTGCACTTACAATTGAGCAAAGAACTAAATATGCTTTAGCTGGAATCGGGAAAGTACGGTGTTAGCAGCTGTTAGGTGCTGGTCCTGCCGGCAGATGATGCTGGGAGCCGCGTGCGTGTCACTAATCTTCCTGCGTTCCAGATACAGCCTGTTCGTCTTTATGGTAAGTGCCAGAAAGTGAAATAATGTCCTTACGCGTTTCGTGCGTCTGCTGCTCACTTCATCAGAGGATGTTCTGTCAAGAACCTGTCAATATTACAAACTGTTGAATGGTATGTGTAGTCCCTCACTCCTTCATGTTTTATCCGCCAGCAATCAAAAAGAACAATTTCCAGAGAAAAAGCCAGCCAGGAGAGCCAACAAAACTTGTGTTTATTGCAAAGCTATTTTCGGTTTTTTTGGAAAATTGTTCTTTTTGATTGCTGGCGGATAAAACATGAAGGAGTGAGGGACTACACATACCATTCAACAGTTTGTAATATTAATAAAAATAGAATATAAGAAGAAAACGGTTTGGTCCTACGCATTTCGTTCTGAGAGGAACTTCATCAGGGACCCCAATAACCAATAAAATCAATGTACAAATTCACAACATGTAAAAAACTTATCATATTCCCCCATCCCCAAGTCCCTTAAAATAGGGCTAGTCCCCATGTCCAATTGGTGGATAAGTGGGTGGCTCCAGTCATCCATAACCTCATTGGTTCCATAGGGAATCTTCTCAGCTGTTCGTCATCCCTGTAATTTCGCTGCAATCAAATTTGGAGCGTCCGAGTAACCGGAACCAGAAGTGCGTATGATTCAATACTTCCGCGTTTCAGGTGCGTTCCACTTACGTTTCGCCTCAATAGTGTTAAACAAAAAAATATTAGTGGCCATAAAATAATGAAGCTTCTTGTAATTAGCTTATAGTGAAATACAAAATATATATATTCATACTCCATAGTCAATCATACAGTGATTCTGTGGAAATCAGATATTTAAAGTAAAATATTGACAAGTGTTAAAATTATAGTGATACAATTTCTGTGAATCATCTATCAGTGTTTAATTAACAATATTATATGTTAAACATAATGTAAAGTGAAACAATTATCAATAGTTTTAAAGTGACCAGTGCTAGATAATTGATCAAGTTCAATCATAAACATATAAAAAATTATGTTCCTAGATATATTAAAGGTCTCCAACATTCACTGGAGTAGCACACATACCTATGTCCTAAAAACCAAAAAACAAAGGAGGACATTCTACTATATATACAGAAGAAAATGACTTTCCCTTAGGGTTTAAAGTATCAAATTTGAGATATTAAGGAGATTTATTCCCACTAAATAAAATATTCTGTGACACCAGAGAAAATTAGATGTATAAATTCCAAAAGATAAAATTTCTTAATACATATACCTATCAGGACCAAATATATAGAAAATATTGGTATAAGGAAAGATAAAAATTATATTATATGCAAAATCCCAGCTCAAAAATAGCACATAGGTCTCAATCAAGAAAACAAACCAGATCAATGCCTATGTTTAGACCCTTTGGTTCTAGGGTTCCAAGTCTGTGTATCCAAAAGGTTTCCCTTTGGGATAATTTTTTGACCCTATCCCCCACGCCCCCTGCCAGAATGAATGAACCCTTTCGATGCCTATACACTTAAAATCCCTAAATGTGAAAAGGGGGCATTTAGAACAATGGGCTGGACCAGAATGGGATACCAGCTTTTTCCGGATGTTGTTCAGATGTTCGAGTATTCTAATTTTCAGGGCCCTCTTAGTACGTCCCATATATTGTTTGCCACATGGATACTGCAGTAAATAAACCACATAGTCCGTGTGGCAGCCAATTTTGGACTTCACTTTAAACGTCTCCCCTGTAACAATACTACAAAATTCCACTGTTTTTTGCATATATGTTGTAATGCAGGCTTTACAAGACCCGCAGCCCCTAAAAACAGAATCTACTGGAATGTTAGCATTGCTAGCAGAATGCTTGGTTGTATAGGGAGAGGAATTAGCAGTAGAAAGAGGGAAGTGCTCATGCCATTGTACAGAACACTGGTGAGACCTCACTTGGAGTATTGTACGCAGTACTGGAGACCATATCTTAAGAAGGATATTGATACCTTAGAGAGGGTTCAGAGAAGGGTTACTAAACTGGTTCATGGATTGCGGGATAAAACTTACCAGGAAAGGTTAAAGGATCTTAACATGTATAGCTTGGAGGAAAGACGAGACGGGGGGATATGATAAAAACATTTAAATACATAAAGGGAATCAACACAGTAAAGGAGGAGACTATATTTTAAAGAAGAAAAACTACCACAACAAGAGGGCATAGTCTTACATTAGAGGGGCAAAGGTTTAAAAATAATATCAGGAAGAGGCTGAGAGGCTAGTGGATGCATGGAATAGCCTTCCAGCTGAAGTGGTAGAGGTTAACACAGTGAGGGAGTTTAAGCATGCATGGCATATGCATAAGGCTATCCTAACTATAAGATAAGGCCAAGGACTAATGAAAGTATTTAGAAAATTGGGCAGACTAGATGGGCCGAATGGTTCTTATCTGCCGTCACATTCTATGTCTCTATGTTTCTATGTTAGTCCACAACATCTGGAGTGCCCAAGGTTGCCTACCCCTTCTCTAAGTATCGGTAGATGGAAACAAAAAAGGAGAACTAATAGTGCTTTATGAGTCCAATAGAAGAATACACAGATTTCCCAGTGGAGTTTCTGTATGACTTTGAGCAAAATTCTTAATTCAAAAGGGTTGTTTATCTGCTGGTAATAAGGAAGCAGTGTTTCCTTTGAAGGCTTTGTTTCAGTCGAGGATGAATAATTGTAGATTATTCTAGCCTTTAGTGACAAAATAATGTCAATTGTAATAATGACATGAGGTGAATATGTCCCACCCTTTTTAGAATTCCCATCCCTTTCTTATGAAGATTGCCTGTTCTAAATGTAAGTTACGTAGATTTTATGTTGTCTTTATATGCTTTGTATTTTTATGTGGGTTGATCCAGGCCAAGGACAGACACCATCAAACCCAATAAACCAGTGTGGCATAGGAGATAAGGAGTTGGCCCGTCATAGAAGTACACACTGGAGAAAAAAAGATCTACATAAAGACAGAGTTTGTCAACAATGCAGAGCTTGTGGGGAAAAAACAGGAAATGTGAAATCGAAAAAAAAAAAATCACACCAGCAAGGATAATCTGTTTACATTGAAAGCCTTAACCTCTGTGGCATGTCGAAAGGGGACGAGCACAATAACAATGTGAGTTTAGCAAATAGCTGGCGTAGTGAGATGTGTTAGTTCGCAGGCCAAGTCTGCCAAAAATTGAAACAGCCCAGAGAGTGGAGTTTTAATCCATTAGTGTCATTACAGTCATTAACGACCGCTGACGTACCCTGTACGTCTGCGGCCAAAATGAGCACTGGAAGCGTGATCGCTTCCAGACGCTCTAAGGGTATTCTACGATGCCTTGATAGCGATCACTTCCGGGTTGCCGCATGTGGCGACCGGCAGTGTATAGCAGAGCATCGGAAGCCTTCAGGAAGGCTTCCGATGCTCTGCCTGTACTGAGTGCTACGATGGGTCGAGGTACTTAGTAATAGTTAAAAAAATTAACCCTCTCCCTCCCCATGTACTTACCTATTGCCGACGTTCCTCCACCGGCTAGCGGTCGTCTTCTGAGGGGGACTGTCTGGGCTCTGTAGGACCCCCAGGGTCCATGTGATCGCTCTAAAAGAGCAGTCACATGCCCGCAATAGGTGTCCACAGTGCTACCAGCAGGGGGACTGCCTGAACTGACAGACAGTACCCTTGTTGGTGAAAAAGTAAAAAATAAAAAAAAAATAAAAAAATATATATATACACATATATAATATCTATCTATCTATATATATATATATAAATATATATATATAACATATATATAATGTCATACTAAGTGTATTTTTTTATTAATATATACATATATTAATATAAAAATACACTTAGAGTAAAACTACACACGTGTATATATCTAATATTTGGGGTCGGAAACATAATAATATACGTAAATCGGGATAATACACAGTTGGTTGGGGTGTGTCGTAACCAATGTGTGGGTAGGCCTGTAGTAAAAGAGGGCCAACTAAGAGTAAACGTGTTAATAAAGATATTAAAATAAAGCAAATTGGGTGAGGTGGGTGCGATCACCTGAACGAGAACGCGAATTGAGCGCTCTAGCTACTTTGTAAATGATCTGTGCGAACTATATACTTTGTAGGCATATTTCTCTTTCCCTCCTATATGAATACCAACATTAGTTTGGAATGGTGTTACTTTATTAGGAGAGTTATAGCATTAGCAGCTTAGTAGTTTTACACAATTGATCATTTATTTGTAGCAAGGCTGTATGTCTGAGTGGGTTTTCCTTTTTGATTTATTTTTTTCCTATCCACCTCTAGGTTTTTCCTTTTCTATGAGGCGATTTAACAAGTT